AAACAAAGCCAAGGTGACCAAATATAAAAGAATACTTTATGACTTTGTTAACCAATGAAAAGTCTCCGGTAACGAAGAAATAAACCAATGAATATAACATATCAGTCTTTTTTACTTGTCTGCTGCATAACAGAAGATGAAACATCACTCATCAACTTTGCTTCTTTTATTCTACAATAAAAATCAGGAAGATGTTTCTTTTAAAATACTTGATTTTCTTATCCAATTGATCTTGAGATACGAAATTATCAACATCATACTAACATCTTCAACTATTTTTATTGTATCGAAGTCAGATTTCGTTCAAGTTAATACTTCTACGTCACACAAATGTAGCCCTTATTTAAAACGTCTTATAATATTCTGTCGTTAAGTCGATCTTGTCCTACATCTCCAGGACAATCATTCCGGCCGTCGGAAATGGCGTAAATCAGTATTAATTTGCAACATTTTTTACCATAATTCCTCAGCTTGTTCTACGGGCGGTTTTTTCGATAGAAAACGACCATTGTTTTTCGCATTATCTCGAAATTTTTATGCGAGTCTAGAAAAAATTTGTGCTGTTTTTCGACATTTTGTAACCGACTTTATTCTATTGACGGTTGCTTATACCCAGATTTTCATTGACTTAAGTCATTATTTGATTCATGATCTTTACTCTTCTCACTTCTTACTTATCAGAAAAGTAGAAAATCTTAAAACTCTTTCTTAAAGTATCAGATGCTAATTCATGCAATACCTCTGAATGTTTAACGATTTTCATTCCTTGACCGTAAGCAATGAATAATATCTGGCTGATATCTAATTTATCAAATTGCCTTTAATCTATCTGACAATATAACTAGTGAGCCACCACTTTATGTTTGTGATATGTAGAAAAATCCTTCCTCATATAAACATCAAACGCAAAAATCGTCCGTTCAGACACGCTTCTCTTATCAAATATATTGATGCGTTTCGTTTGAAATTTTGTCTCCTTCTCCAAAAAGCTTTTGTGTGCTGGTACCCGTTTTTAGTTGGAACCACATATAGGATGTTCGAGAGCTCTGACTACGTCACAAACAAAACTCAATTCAGAAATCTGTTGATACAAAAACTATTTACACGATTTGTTTTGTATGCTCCAAAAAATATGTATAAACGTTTCATATAAAATCACACTAGTTTGAAAAACGGTAAGTGTGTGATAATTTTGAAGCTTTTTATCAAGAAAGAGAGAATGAACGCATTTCTTAATAAGCTATAGAATAGGCACAGCAGTTTTGAAAGATCGGTACTGTAAAATTGAAAATTATGAAATTTTAGAAAACATATGAACGAAACGAATAGCTTGAATAATTAAAAGCTTTTGAAACTGTCATCCAATTTATTTAATGTAACTTTTTTGATCGGTAAATGTATTGATGGATAAAGAAATAATTAAAATACTATATCTCCATAGCTTTTTTGGACACACGTATTTGTAAATAATATTCTAACCAGCAATCTATGTATACTTTCTGTTTCTTTTCATAACTAGTGTGATCTCATGTGGCTCATCGATATGTATTGTTGCTTTGTATCGCTAGTTCTTCTCTTCTGATGTCATTGCTGTTGTTTCAGAATCATCAAAATTTGAAATTTCCGTTAGCCTATAGTTAGGTGAAAGCCATAAGTAAACGTGATATCCATCGCTGCTCAGATCAAATCTTAAACGGATTGAAATATATTTTTGAAATTTCAAATATCACGTCGACCGCGTCGATAGACATGACGTTAGCTTGAATTGGGTTGGAGCCGAAGTTTTTCGACAATTGCCACTCAACGAGAATAAATGTTGGATCGTGTCTGAATCCAATCAACGTTTCATCTAAACTGTATCTATACGTACTCGAATGTTGCGATTTAGACGCATTTTAATTCGAAAAATACTTGTATGGAACCATCTGATATTGATGTAGCAAATAAGTTCTAGTTCTAAGAATAGTCTGAATTATTAACGAAATTCGTAAAACATCTGTCTAATTTAATGTAGTGATTATCCTGTTCTATTTTTGTGTATGGCTTTTGTTGTCTTCCTCAACTCCCTCGAGAAAAGCTCCAAGTAAACAAGTTCTAATCAATAATCGAATTTTGAGCCACAACATCCGATTATTAATCGAAAATTTTTCACTGGACTACTTCCTACCAAAAAAAGAAGGCTTCGGTATTTTGATATACCATATCCCAAGTGCATGTTAATGTTTGTGTAATTGTAAATTGTACTATGGCACAAACTACAAAGTACTCTCAGCGCTGATCGTCCCTATTGGGTTTCATGCATTGCACAGAAGGATGTTTAGTGCCGCAGAAGATGTCTGTCTAGCTCATCCATAAACATGTCTTGATGAATAAACGATTGATGTTTTAGGAACAATAGTTGACAATGATTCTTATTCAACATACGACAAAATAGACAATAGTTCAAGTATTTCGCTAGTTCGACAGCAACCAACTCAGTTACATATCAATATTTTAAGTTCAGTGAAGTTTGCGCTCAGTGGGTGTCATATTAGACAATCAATGGTCAGAAAGAGTGACGTATCCAATTTTCTTTATGTAATCTGGTTTAATCAAGCCAGTGTTATCAGAAAACTCTGCAGCGTTAAATACAAGCTGTTAGGTCATCAGGTATCTATCAAAAGTCTTCAAAACTGTCAGAAAACGACAGCAAAGGAAGGACCTTCGAAGTCTCATGCTTCACGATGACAACTCAAGGGTACATCCAGTTTGGATTATCAACGAACGTTTTCGCCAAAAATCGTATAAAACTATATAGGAATCCTTCAGTTTCTCGAGATCTATCTCTCGAATATTTATTTCTACTTGTTTCGAAAACTAAAAAGGCATCTGTACAAAATTCAACTGAATAACTATTGTACAATGCTAATTGGCTTGAACGAAGGATATATTCGATCGCATAAATGCATTGATGCTGAGAAACATATGCTTTAAAAAAAAGCAGATTAGTATCAATTTTCATTATGGGCTCTAAGAATTAGTGAAAAATCTTGCAGTATCTAACTAAATCACCTATTATTCCCGAATTAAGCATAAAGGGTGTTCACTAAGTTTTGACTCACTTAATAAATGAATGTATTGACTAAGCGGATCAAAACTTAGTGAACTTCCTTTATAGGTCTGTACAAATTGACACGAATAAACTCATAGGAATACTTACCACCGATATCATATCAACCTGCTCTAAATCTTATCATTCGTTTATTGTACGTAAAGTCCTTCACGCATGCTAGAAAATTATGTAATTAATCATCAATAAACAGTTCTAAGAATGAGACTAGTTTGTTATTATTTTTGCAAGGTATCGTGATGACATCATCTGATCAACGATTTCAAGAGCGAATGAATCTCGAGAAATCAGTCACCAATATACTAATGTTGAGTTTTGCTTTTTTCATTTAATATTAGTTTTGTTGTTTTCATTTGTGCTTCAATGATTTCATTAGGTCTAATGAACCGCTATGAACGCCAAGCTCAATCATATTGTGCGGTTTTACATTTTTGATCTATGAGTCAATTTTAATAGCATCACTTTCTTAGAATCAAAGTTTTGGAAATACCCAAAAACCTCAGACTTACATAGTAAATTTTGTGCAAAATTAATCAGTCGTGATCAGAAAGTGTTAATCACTGTAGCACCTGCTATTAATTGAATAACGACAAAAAAACTGTACCTACAGATGTATGAAAATATCTGTTGCTAAAAGTGATATACAAAGCGCTAAATAACANATAAAAAACAAAGTGAATATACCTGTTCACTTTTTGAAGTACACATAACACTCGGATTTAAATCCGATGTTTTCGCATTTATTTGCACTTAAAAAGGGACTATTTCAAAAAAACGACCTCATCATGCCCTGCATCTTGAGATGCTCTTTCAAGCAAAAAAAAGAAATTAATACATTGAATGAACTGGGAAGGAGAAATTTGGGATGCGCTTTTGAGATATCGTGAATCGAGAAAAAACAGAAAACTTTTTTTGATTTTTCAAAAAACAGCTGGTTTTTCGAATAGGGAGTGCCGAAAATCTTTGAAAATTTTGGTCAAAAAGGAGGTATCGGAGAAAACTTTTTATCAGGTATGAAAGAGTAGAACTCGGGCTATCTTTCCATGTATTTATCTTAGTTTTGATGATTCTGACGAAAATTGACTTTTTTTGAGGGGGGGGGGGGGCCTTAAAACTCGAAATTACTTTTGGTTTTGAAAAAATACAAATGAACAAATATCTTTTAATCATGTTAAAATGCATCTTCTTTTTTCATTGTTCAAGAAATAATCAGTCTTGTTTGTAGTTTCTGACATTTCTTTTGCATGACTTCAGATTAATAAAGTGCGTTAATTAACAATAATCAACGCTGAAAACTGTTTTGCTTAAAAATTTCCTTTTCATTATATCCAACATTCATATTTGTAGTTATTAATTATATTTTTTCGCCTAAAGGTAAATGAAAACTCATATTTACAATATAAAAAAAAAAATAATAGCAACAAACTAAATTAAACAATTGAAATATTCCATAAAAATCCTAAAACATCTTACTCATTTCGTGAAGAAATTAGAGAACAAACACGTATAATCACTTGTAACTAGCAAGAAATCTATTTGTCTCTGTTTTAACTTTATACGTAAATTATTTTGATCATACAAATCGATATGTATGGGCATATTGTTCTTACATATTAGACGGCCTATCAAGAATAGTTCTGAATGAGTTGATGAAATAATTTTATTTATTTTGATTTTTCTATCATAACCAAATCAATGAAGAGATCAATCAAGTGGAAATTCATGTCGTTCTTGTTCTCTTAACAAATATTTTCTGATTAACAATCATCAAGTATATGACGACACATTTGTCTTCTCAGTTATTCTTTTTTGCTTATTCTAATCAATACATCATGACAAATAAAACTAACAAAAAAAAAATTACAAAAACAAAACAAAATAAAAATTTTTCTTAAACTTTTGTTTGTCGTGTAAATCGAATTTGTTCCGATGGTATAAAACGTTCTGGCGATAAAAAACGTTCTGATCGTACTAACCGTTCCGATGGTATAATACGTTCTGCTGGCTTTGGCCGTATTGGTGCATGAATCTTATGATTTTGCCAATGATCATTTTTCTTGTCATCATCATCATTTAATGTTAATGATGATGTTGATGAAACTTTTATTTCAACTGTTATTGATGTTAAAAATGAAACTAATGTTAATATTAATGCAATTAATATACATATATATGATGCACCTATACGTATATTTAAAGCATTTTCAATTTGTTGAATAATTATTTCTAAATCTTTTGAAAATGTATAAATCTGTATACGAGAATAATGACGACGCATAGCTTCAAAAAATTCTAATGGTTCAGTAAGACGATTTCCATTATATTGTATTATTATAATAATAAGAAATAATAATGAAAATAACGATGATATAAGTGATATAAGACGAAGTTGAATATCATTTAAACAATGTTTGATACAATAACGACGACATAAACGAAGAATATTAACAAATATAAATACAACTTCGAGAATAATCAAAAATATTAATAATTTATGAATTATTTTCACATAGGACGGTTGTTGACATGTACATTTTATATCATGATTATTTTCATTATTTGTTAATAATACATTTAAAAATATACATTGACGATGATAATTTATATTATGACATAAACCATAATTTGTTTCTTGAAATGATGGCAGATGATTTCGTCCACATGCATCACCAGTAATACAATGAGTTAATAAACCAAATGAATGAGTTTCACCTAAGATAGAAAATATAATTCTTGTTTCTTTTTTTGTTTTATTTTTCAAATTAAAATTACCTCGATGATAAAGTATATCAATGTATTTATCAACTTCACCACGAATTAATGGATCCATTGGATTATTATCTGATAATATTAATGGAGTAAATGTTGAACTTAATTGAATATATTTCCAATTTGGTAAATGAAATGCAATCAAACTCAATATGAATGATATCAAACTGAGAATGAGTGATAAAATAATACAAATTCGTGCGAACGACTGCTTCATTCATTCAGACACTCTTCTTTAAAATAAATAAATAAAAAATTCTTCATTTTAAACTAATTATTATATTCAAGTTGTTAATAAAGAAAGAAAGATAGTTCAACTAATAACTCAAATAATTTGTATAATATTTATAAATAGAGACTAAAGGTATAGATGTTCAATCATACATCTATTATTATTAACATTAGTAATAGAACCTTTTGTTCGAAGGACATTTTCAAATGTATATGTATATATATAAAAGAAAAGCGGATTACATACGTCTCTAATGTCATCAAGCATCATCTTGAAAAAGTATCAAGGTACTAGAAATAATTTGAGAGGTGTCTTCGATCTAACTATATTCTTTACGGTGTAATTAGTTAGTATAGCAGAAAAAGACACTGTAAAAAAAGAAAAAAAGTCACTCAAGACAGGATGAATTGTGTGTTTATGACAAACTGACAACGTGACGCTTTTTTTTTTGTCCGTGTAATTTGTGCGCTTAGTGACAGGTGTACACGTATGTATGTGTTGCTTACAGACATAATAATACCGGATGTGCGACCACATTTGTGTCAACTCAACGAACAGTGATGCCCCTCCTTCTCTTCTCGCTCATATTTGATGTGTTACAGAAAGATAGATAGATAGATGGATGGATAGAAAATAAAGAAAGAAATAGAAACAAAATAAAAGAATATCTTGGTCACGTATTCATTGTATGTGAGAGATAGACATGCTAATATATTAGAGAAATGGATTCTCTTCTTCACCTGTTCTCTCGTAAACACTTTACATAGTATCGATAAGTAGCAGTCATAGTAATTTGAACACTTTGTTTCCCTCTCTCTCTCTTTCTCTTTATCTCCCCTGCCAATCCTCTTTTCATATTAACTAGACAGACAGTGAGACACAAAAAGAAAGAAAGAATAGAAATACAAAAGAATTCTGACTTTTTTTTTTATAGGCACATGAAAGAAAGTGAAAAAGAAAAAAAAAGGCAACTATTGTTGTTAAAATTATTGAGACTATTTTGTTTGCATATTGATTTATAAATACGTCGAGTCATAAATGCCTCCGATCGAATCACTTCTTTTCTTTCTCTCTTGAGCTAATAGATAAAAAAGTACGAAGAACGTCATAGTAAGATTAAAATGCATCGTTGAGTATCGATACACATGTGTATATGAACTGATATCTTTCAAAATATCAGTGCCCCGAGAGTATGCCAAACAGAATAAGTAAGTAAAATAACCACCATGTCGTCATGATGTGTAGATTTTCGAGAGGAGAGGATATGACTTTTTATGAACAATTCACACTCGGAAATCTTGTCAACGCAGTCAGTCTTCTCTCTTTCTGTATAGTAAGCAACGTCACTTTTCGTCTTCTCTTCTTCCTCTGTCTCTCTCTCTCTCTCTCTCTTTCTTTTTTTTGCTACATTTTCTAAATAGGCGCCTAGAGAGATAGAAAGAAGACTTAATAATTTTGTTGTTTGCATGAAGAATGAAAAGAAAGGTGTGGACTCTAATATAAAATAAATTCACTAGAGACTAGGTAATACAAGTAGAATTGGTCAGAAAATATGATAAATGAGGTCTGACATGCTTACAATGAAGACAATGACTAAATCAATTGTTACTTTCTTCTAGTTGTTCATTTACTAGTTCGTTCTCTCGTGTCCGTACTTGTTCTAGTAGGACAGAAAAAAAAGGAAATCGGTTGAGCCTTCATAGAGAACCATCAATGGTTCGATTAGGAATCCAGAGGGATTTATAGCGTGACTACTTTTTTATGAAGGATAACTATGTATGTGTGTGTGTGTCACACGAACAAATATTTGATAATAATAAATGCAAAAAGAAAATGATAGACAACGTTTCCGGACGTGTAAAACACCAAAGCATTGATTTTTTTTACTAGTATATAAGATTGATCTTTTCTTTTTTTTAATTTGACAGGTGAGAGACAATGAATAGGAAGTCTGTTAAGTATCTCTTGGTCAACTCATTTGTATAGATAGACAATTCATCATCATTTTTTTTTGTCACTGCTCTTCACTTTTTCCTATATAATATAATGAGAAAAAGAAGAAGATAACATTCAATGCTTGTTTGTTTTACACAAGAAGCAGTCAGACAAACTTCGTTGCTATACGTGGATAGAATAAGAGATTGATTTCTTCATTTTATAAACATCAATTGGCATTTGTGTACGTGCTTATACTCTTTCTCTATGATTCTTTCTCAAGTGATAAATAACAAAAGAGACGTATGTGTATATATATCTATCTTTCTGATGAGTTAACATGAAACACATTGTCTCGCTCAACGATACTTACATATAAAGTAGACTCTTACTAGAATCATTTACAATAAAAGGTCAACTCATTTTTTTTACTATTTTCAGTAAGATACACCTTATTATACTCTTTTCTTTCTTTTTTTTGACGAATGTCACATGCTATTGAATTACGTGACAATGTTTAACAAACATTTTTTTATATTTAAATTTAAATCGATTGATAAAAATGATAAATGAACTAATTCCAACATGAATCAAGAGTCAGTAATCGATATCCATCATCAAGTGTCAAAGTTTGATCATATTCAAATGTAATTATTGAATCGAATGTGATTATATAATTCAATGTTGAGCTATTTATATCATTTGTTTTGTTCTTTTTTTTTGTTTTTTTTGAAAAGATATAAGATATGGATTATGATCTTCTATTGTAATTAAGCAAAAAGAAACGAAGTCATTTGAAATCTAAATATAAAATATTTATGAAATGACAAGTTTAACAACGTTTACAAACGCTCAAAAGAGAAAAAAAACCATAATATACTGAAGTTTTAATGCAGCGTAAAGTTTCAGGAAGAACATTTTTTTGCTTATATTAACACATTGCTTCATAATTGAATAAAAGCGCGAAATGGTTTATACCAAAGTATGTTATGTAAATATATGATGAACAATGTAATAGAAACCAATGACTATTTGGAATGTCAGATTTACAATTTAATCTATTGAACGAATAGATTTTGAAATTGCATTGGAATAAATTAAAATGTTTGAAAAAAATCTTTTGTTCTATTCTTACGAGAGAAATTCCATAACTGATTAATCGCTTTTACGTTGGAACAATGAGCAACATGTAAATCGAAATGAGTTATGAATATTCTGAAAAGAGTTCGGGACCTTAGCTTATTACTAAGGAGATATTGCATTTATACAGTATGTTTCCATTCAATGCCGTAGTCTCACTCAGAAACATAAGAAAAAAAATGATTTTGTGAATTACGACTTGAAACTTTGGGAAACAATTTTGCCAATGTAAATGAACATTGCAGAAGATACACTTTTGCCATCACCATATCTTAGGATAGGAAAAACAAAAAGAACTGAAACTTTCATAATAAACCATTTGCGTTAAGTCATTTCTCGATGAAAATTTTTAAATCAAAATTCAAAAAAATACTTTTCCTTGTGTTTCTGAGGGGAGTCACGGAATTAAGGTTGAAAAAAACACCTTAAAATGCAGTATTTTCGTAGCAATCAGCTAAGAGTTCAAACTCGTTTCAGGATATTCATAATTCGTTAGAATTTACGTGATACACATACCTCTGATTCACAAGCAATCAATCATTACGGAGATTTATCTAGTTAGATTAGATATTGACTAAATAAGATCTTTATATCGATTTGTTTTATAAATAATACTTTTTATGAATAAATGCCAGAAAAGTAAACATGATAATTCTTATTATGTGTCTTCTACACTCATCTCATGACTGAAATTTCTGATAATTAAAATAGTTCTATAATTATACATTATGCTACTTGAATAGCATGTTCTTATGAAATCTGATTAATCTATATTCAAGCATTTTTATGTAATCTTTTGTTGCATTTCAAGCTTATCATCAGACGTTTTTAGTTTTATTAATATTGAGTTAAATTTCAAAGCAAGTATAGGTGAGTAAGTAATAGCTTTGCAAATCCAATGGTTTTCTTAGTGAGATATGAAGTACTAAGAAAAAAAAAAGAAGCCATTTGATTTAATCGATCCGGCATTCTCATACAATCAAGTGTCTGTGATATGTTAATTACATTTCACCTGCTTACCTGAAATTAGATACCCTTGATACGTGACATTTATTATTGATTAATATATTATATATGTAGCGCCATCTATGGAACCAGGTTGAAATATATATATCAAACATGTTTTTATTATATTATTTCTCTAAAATAATAATAAATTTAAAAAAATTGAATATGAATCAATGAGGCTTTTATTTGAAATTTGATTTGATCAATTGATTATCCGAATCATATCCATTCTTTCATTTATTATCGTTCACGTGGCTGTCTTCTGCTGCTATTATGTCGTTTTTTTGTGTCAACACTTCTCCTCTTCCTTTGGATGTACTATTGATAATTATAGTAATTTACTGTTGTTTTAATTTAATGTTTTAGTTGTTTTAATTATTTCTTCAATGCTTAATATAATTTATATGTACATGCTTTTGTATTTGGATCTATAAAAATAATGATGTCTCTGTTGACCGATACTATTGTCGTAACCATTTCTCAAGTATGTGATTTTTGTTGTTTCCTTTTCGAATAGATACTATTTTCATATTAATATATTTTATTTTAGATCGCTTTTTTTGTTTGTGGTTGGTTATTTTTTTTTCGTCAACTTTGTCGAAATTATGATGTTCGAAATCGAATAGTAATTCTTTCCTTTGCAATAACATTTGCATTAAGTTGTACGATGTTTGAATTGATTATTTTTGAAATACTTGCTTTCTTACAACCATCGTATGTATTATTTTCTGTTTTTAAAGATTTCATAAAGAATTTCTTTTTCTAAATGTAGATCTCGGTATCTTCATTGGCGTATTGGTCTTTATTGTATGCTTTTCTTACTAGTCTTCCTTATTCCATTTTATATTGCTTATCTATTATTAAATACAATTAAAATTGGTAATAGATTTTGTTCTATTTTA